TAAAAAACCACAAGGCAATTCACACTGGCATAAAATGGCTTGTTCATATTTAGAGAACACTTATCTTGATAAGTACTGAGTAATGTATAGAACTGTTTAATCACTATATTGTATACCTCAAATAAAAGTAACACTATATATTAACTATACTGGGATTAAAGTTATAAAAATGGTTTGCTTATATCTGGAAAAAGATCTTTCTCGTTTTCATTTCCCCAACTCCAGTATCCCTTCCTTCCTCCTCTCCATCTCTCCACCTGTCTCTCCATCTCTCTGTCTCTGACTCTGTTTTTCTCTCTGTCTCTGTTTCTCTCTCTCTCTTTCTCAATCTCTCTCTCTCACTGTCACACACACACACAGCACACAGAAGAGGCTAAAGAAAGCAGACTCTGAGGTCACTGAAGACAACTTGAAATTTTTCCTTGGGATCAACCTTTCTTTCCTTCACCATTGTCCTAGCAAATATAAGCTGCAAGTAGAGGTGTTCTTGCCAGATTCTGCTCCACACTATGGCTAAGCAGGAACACAGCAACAACCATGCCAAGGAGTCCAAGGGGATATTCAACATGGAAAATTTCCAGCTCCAAAACAGCACTCCCAGGAGATGACTATAGCTCCTATAGGAAATCATTTAACCACAAATTCCAACTCCCCTTCACTCCCACAGCCTGTCACCCATCTCAAAGGGCTGTTCCCTTCAATCGTGACAATCTGACCCACATCAGCAGCCCAGAGGCCATATGGCAACATAATGCCTTTCTAGCCCCATTGGATAGGAAAAGGGAGGGACAACATATTGAATGACTATCATTGAAATCCTGTAATTTGTGATTTGTCAATAACCCCTTACTTTGGGGGAGTTTTCTGCACCCCTTAACATATTCTCACAGCCAAAAGATGTAACTGTGGACACATAAAATGCCTCTGAAACCATTTCATCATCTGGTAACAATGAAACAAATAATAAATTCTCTGAGAATATAAAGATGACCCACATCTCAGAGTTCACTCTTCCATGGTCAATAATTTTAAATGCTTAGGGATTTTAAATTCTTTGGAATTCCAAAGGTAAAAGCTAATATGCAAGAGCAATCAGTTATGTTGGAAGAAAACAGGGTGTGAAAAGCCAAGTACTATTTTCCTGTTTACACTATAAAGTGGAATTGATAATCTTATTATCCCTGTAGTTATTAAACTGTGCTGACCAAATAGTCATCTGAATCAAGTCAGGCAAAGAAACTTACTTGAATAATAGAATCATAGCTCTCAGGTTGAAAGAGGAATTTATCAGATATTCACCCAATGTTCTTCTATTTAACCCTCCTCCAAAATATCTCTGGTCTCATACTCAACTCCTATAAATGATGTAACCTGATCCAATGCAAAGAGGATTTACAGTGTAAAGTCATGAGTTGGAGGCCTGGGTCCTGACTTTCTGATTTATCAGCCATGCAACATTGGACTTTCTGGTCATCAACTACAGTATGAGGAGGATAAATTATTTTACTTATTCTCAGGCAATTCAAAATTCTCCAGGCAGTGATAGGGAACTCACTATCTCCAAAGAAAATTCTCCTCATGTTTGTAGAATTCTATTAAACAGTTCTTCCCTTTACAGAGTCAAAATATGCTTCTCTACGGTTTCTATCCATTCATCTGAATTTTTTATATAACCACATACAATCCTAATTCTATTTAAGAACCACTCATATAATTGAAGACAGGCATCATCTCCCTACCATCTGCTTCTCACTCAGTTCCCTTTACCACCCACCTGGCCAGTCATCCTATTTACTCTACTCAGAACATATAACAGGTTGTCCACATCCCTACTGAAATGTGGTCATCAGAACTGAACAAAAAGCTACAGAAACAATCTGGCAAATCCCAAGTGAAGACCACCACCACTTATTCTGTTCCAGCTAATGTGCTTCTTTCAATGCAGCCTAAAATAGCTAGTTACAACATCACACTGCCTGTGTCACACTACCCTCCTATTTTTACTTATGTCTTCTACCCCATCCTTGCAAAGTTTAATTTAGACCCAAAGTCAGAATTTTATTTTTATTTCAGTTGGATTCACTTCTATTAGACCTGAGCTGTGGTGTGACATGCTAAAATTTTCTTGGAGCCACAGTCTACCTTAAAATTGTTTGCCAGCTGCCCAAATTTTCAGCCAAACAATTGACGAAAATATAATGATCATAATGATGGTGAAGAAAACAGTCCTGGGGATGCTTGGGTGGCTCAGTTGGTTTAGCGTCTGCCTTCAGCTCAGGTCACGATCTCAGGGTCCTGGAATCAAATCCCACATCAGGCTCCCGGCTCAGCAGGGAGTCTGCTTCTCCATCTACTCCTCCCCTGCCCCCCACTCATTCTCTCTCTCTCTCTCTCTCTCTCACACACACACACACACACACACACACACACGCACAAATAAATAAATAAAATCTTAAAAAAAAGAAAAAAGAAAAGAAAGAAAGAAAACTGTCCTCCATATTGATATGAATCTGCAAGATTTGCATCTCTGCCATTAAAACCTCAGATCCCAGCTTGCCCCATCCTTGCCACTCTCTGAATTTCACCTTTCTGAGCTCACACACATGCCACAGCAAAGTCTTTCTGCTGCCCCACAAGTTAAGTTCCCCCAGGACTTTGGCACTTTCAGAGAAACTGCTGTTGGAGTTGAGGGTAATTGGAGGGGGAGATGAACCATGAGAGACTATGGACTCTGAAAAACAATCTGAGGGTTTTGAAGGGGCAGGGGGTGGGAGGTTGGGGGAGCCTGGTGGTGGGTATTATGGAGGGCACATATTGCATGGAGCACTGGGTGTGGTGCATAAACAATGAATTCTGTTACACTGAAAAAAAATTAAATTTGAAAAAAAGAATTAAGTAAAACAAAACAAAATATTAAAAATAAATAGAATAAAATAGAACACTGAAAAGATAAATAAACCTAATAAAAAGAAGAAAAGTTCACACCCAGAGCTCCATGAGGTAGTGGAAATAATGTGGAAGTTGGAGTCAGAATGGCCTGGGATTGAATCTTGGTTTTGTAACTTACTCACTGGGTAACCTCAGGCATGCTACCACTATCAGTTTCCTCATCTCAAAAATAGAGATAATAATAATGACCTCATGGGGTTGTTCTGAAGATTAGAAGTGATACGTGCAAAATCTCAGCACGTCTTCAGCAAAATGGGCATGCAATATAGATTACCTTTATTATTACAGCATGGTGAGAGAGACAACACAGTAACTACTGACACAAAAGACAATTAAACCCAAGAAAAAAGGGGGATAAAATGAAGATCTATGTTCTGTAGACAATAACTAATGCTCCACAAAAGAAAGAACTGATGGACTAATAAGGTTAGAAATAAAGACATTAAATAAATTTTTAAAAACTCAGACACATTTCTGTCTCATCGACTCTAAACAAGATTAGCTACCCCCTTGCATTTTTTATTTTATCGTGGAAGACCATTAGGGTCATCCAAGAAATGCTGATCAGTCCAGAGTGACTTTCCCATAGAATACAAACAGTAAGACAGTAAGACAAACAGTAAGCTGGAAAGATACAGATTCATGCCTATTGTGAAGGGACCTCTAGATTAAGTAGAAAAGATTTGGAATTCTACATGCAAGCAGGAAGTAATGACATGATAAGATTAGATGATGAATCAGGCAGCTTATAGCAGAAAGGCTAGGTACAACACTTTTTACAAATACCTAACTGAAAGATGATGAAGTACAGAACTAAAATTGCAGCTCTAGAAACAGAGAACATACCTACAGTGCAGAATGAAGTCTAGAGAGAACTGGAAGGATGTGGCACACACATGAGGGGTAAAGGAGAGTGAGAAGTGCAAAGTGACATGGTATAGCTTGAGACACTTAGTGGATGGGGATGTCATTAACCAATATGTGGACTTCTGGAGGATAGTACACTTCAGTGTAGGCCATGATAATGAGCTCAGGGGTTTTTTGCGGGGGAGAGGGTTGTTTGTTTAGTTTCAGAGGTAGAGTTTAGTGATTCCTCAGTTGTGTATAACACTGAATGCTCATTACATCAAGGGCCCTCCTTAATGTCCATCACCCAGTTACACCATCTCCCAACCCACCTCAGTTTTGAACAATATGAGCAGAGGTAACTAGGGGACATCCAAATGGAGATATAGTCTGTTCCACATAAAAGTCTGGAAACCAAGAGAGTTAGGAGGTCTCCTGAATATTTATGAGAATAATTTAGAAAACCCACAGCTTAATCTACAGGAAGAGTAGGTAGAGCATATCCTTGATACCCCAAGGTAGTAACCTTAAAAGCAATGTAAAATTAATTTAATGATTCTTGCCTGATAAAGTCATGCTAGCTTCTGGTGATCACCACTTCTAACTCAAAAGCTCATTTTCTTGTTTTCTTTTGAAAAATCAAAATTAAATTTACCTATCTTCTTTCAATTCATCATAATTTCTGGAAGACCAGCATTCATTTCATGGCAAGTTCTCCCAGTATCCAGAGATAGAATTCATAGATAAAAAGGGACATGCAGGTAGGCCCTTACGGTGTTTTCCAACCACAAACTGAATTTGGGATTCCCATAAATCAATATTCCACCTCTCTAAGACAGAGATAAGAATGTATACATATCAATGGATATTTATCAAGCACCTAACAAGTCAAAGTGGGGGTTATAAAAAAAAGTAGAAGGTGTGGACCCTTGCACACCTATAATAATCAAAGAAAACCTTCCATAAAATCTCCAGTATATGAAGTTTGTGTAAACCTAAATTTGGAACTTGGTAAAACAAGTACAGATGAGTACGTGAGGAAGTTGGGGAGTAAACACATTGCTAGAGAAATAGAGGTGGAGATACGGGTGGATCTGGGTTCGATTAGGAATGAATCAGACCATCCTACAGAGTATGGCTCCTCCCTGTATAGACTTGCTATAAAAAGGCTATTATCCCAGACTCTAGCACCCAGCAAGCTCCTTCAGACTAATTCTACTTGCTCTTCTGGTGAAGGAAGTAAGTAAAAGGGACTATGTCTAACTTTACCTATTTGGTGTTAAGCAAGATGAAAATCTGGAATGTATGTATGTATGCTCTAAGGCAAAATGTTCTAGATGTTTGGGTTCTTCATTTTTAGTGGAACTGTTACTAAAACTTATTTTGATATACAAAGAAAATGAGAGCATAAATGTGTTTTCTATAAAGCTACTCAATACTCTTTATATTGCTGGATTTTCCATGTATTCTTTCATTGAACAAATATGAACTAACTGCCTTCTATTTGCAAGCACTGTATTTGACTGATTATATAACAGTGAAAACATAAACTCCCTACTTATAGGAGCTTGCGTTTAGTAGGGGGAGACATCCAGTAAATAATAAATGAACAAAATTTTCAAGTAGCGCTAAAAACAATGAAGAAAAAAGAGAACAATGTAGTAAAGTAATGGGAGGAGAGAGCTTTAGATTGGATGGCCAGGGAAGATCTCTCCAGAGAATTTTCTTTTGAGCTGAGATCTTAATGACAAAAGGAATAAGTCAAGGCAAATGGCAAGATTCTAAACATGAGTCAACTTGTTTGAAAGAATAAAAAGAAGCTAGTGTGCCTAGAGCATATTTAACAAGAGGAACAGTGGGGTATGGTGACATCAGAGAGCTAGATGGGGTATACCATGTGAAAGGTATAGCAGAGTTTGTACATTATTTTAATTACATGAGGAATCACTGGAGAGTATTCAGCAGGAAGAATGAAACAATATAATGTATGTTTTTAAAAGATCATCCGGCACCAGATGCCTATGTTAAGTGAGAAGCATGTGAAGAATCTAGAGGTTTCCAGCTTGAAGTACAGGGAATGTGAGTCCCTATGTTCAAAGAGCTATCATGTCGAAGAAAGTAGACCAATTTGTTCATTTTTTTTTATTTGTTCATTCAACTAATAAATCTTTTTAAAGATTTTATTTATTTATTTGAGAGATTGACAGTGAGAGAGAGCATGAGAGGGGCGAAGGTCAGAGGAAGAAGCAGACTCCCCATGGAGCTGGGAGCCCAATGCAGGACTTGATCCCAGGACCCTGGGATCATGGCCTGAGCTGAAGGGAGTGGGTTAATCAACTGAGCCACCAGGCGCCCCTCAACTAATAAATCTTTTTGAGTGCTCACTGTAAAAAAAAAAAAAATCATTCCTGGCTGCTTTGTGGAAAAATAAGATAATAGGAAGGCAGGCAAGAGTGGAAGCAGGGAGATAGACTGAAGTTTAGGTGAGAAATGATGGGAGTAAGAGTAGTGAAAAGTAACTCTTTGCTCAAGCCAAAATCTACAGGTTATCCACGATCCCTGTTTTCCCTAAGCTACACTGATCCATCACCTTGCCCAGTCAACTCTGGGCAAGATGCCTGATCCATCTGTCTCCCTGTCCACCACTACCACCCTAGTCCAGGCTATCCTTCATTCTACCGCTGACTATTATAGGAAAAAAAAACACAATTTAGTTATTTGTTTTTCTATCAGTATATACTTGAGTTGTTTCCATTTAGGGAGGTATTATAAATAATAGGGCTATGAACATTTTTGTATATGATTTTTGGGTGCATATATTTGATTACATGTATTTCTATTGAAAATATTCCCAAGGAGTAAATTTCTTGGTCTTAGACACCGCCAAACAAATTTTGAAAGTACTTCTGCCAGTTTATGCTCCTTCTAGTGGTATATGAAAGATCCAGTTTCTCCACATCCTCACCAATATTTGATATTGTAAAGTTTTTTTTTTCCTTTTGTCTTTTTAGTCATTTTGGCTGGTGTAATGTGGTCTCACACTGTAATTTTAATTTACATTTCCTTGACGATTAATAAACTTGAGAACTTTTGATACATTTATTAGCCACTTGGATACCCTTTTCTGTAAAGTTCCTGTGGTTTCTACCCATTTATCTATACGGTTGTCTGTATATTTTGTATTAATTTACAAGAGTTAATTTTATAATCAGGTAGAACCCTTTATTAGTCAAATGTTTTGTACATATCCTCCCACTTTGTGGTATTCCTTTCTTTCTTTTAATAGGGTCTTTGAATAGACAGCCATCCTTACTTTCAATGAAGTCAAATTTATCAATCTTCTTCTTTATGATTAACACTTTTTGAATTATATTTAAAAAGTATTTCTCTCTACCATCTTGCTTACCCGCCCCACTCTCTTTCCAATTGAGCTGGGAGATGGACTCTGAGAAATAATCTGAGGGTTTTTGAGGGGAGGTGGTGGGGGAATGGGTGACCCTGATGGTGAATATTAAGGAGGGCACATATTGCATGGAGCACTGGGTGTTGTACATAAACAATGAATCTTGGAACACTGCATCAGAAACTAATGATGTATTTTATGGTGAATAACATAACACAATTAAAAAAAAGTATTTCTCTATTCTCAAGGTCTAGAAGATATTCTCTTATGTTATTTTCTTTTATCTTTTATGTGTAATATCTACCTAGGAACTGATTTGTTTTACTAAATGACACTTCAATTAACCTAACACCATTTCTTCACAGACTGTTCTTTTCCTACTGCCTTGCATAATATTCTCATCATAAATCAAATATGCATAATGCGATAGGTCTGATTTTGGACCTTTCCCTGATCCATCTGTTTAGCCATGTGCCAAAACCATGCTGTCTGCCTTTATAATACACTTTTACATCTAGTATACCCTCAAACTTTTTCTTCTTCAATATTGTCTTGGCTAGTCTTGGCCCTCCACATTTTAAAGTAGCTGGAAATTAAGACTTCTGTTTTGAACATAATAGGCTTGAGATCTCTATTAGCCAAGAAGAAATATTGTATAGGCCTTTAGACATACATATCTGAAGCCTAGGGAAGAGTCTGTGGCTTGACATATAAACTTGGGTATTGTTCACTGTCAACCTCTATTTAGGATTTAAAGTTATAGGGCTAGATGAGATACCCCAAAGGAGTATAAACAGAGAGGAAGCTAAGGAGTGAATCTTAGAGCACATCAACACTGGGGACTGGAAGAGGAAACTAGGAGAAAGCAGGCAGAAAGCTTGGGAAAGAAACAAAACAGTATAAGTCCTCTGAAGGACTATGTAGCCAACTGCATCAAATGCTGCTGATATGATAAGCAATGTGTTACATGAAAACAGGTATTTGAATTTGCCAAACTAAAGGACATTTTTTATCTTCATGAGAGTTTTCATGGATTTTTTAAGAGAGAAAGACAATCTGAGTAAAAGAAAATAGGAGGTGAAGAAAAAAACTATAACCATAGTTTTTGAACGGGTATTGCTATAAAAGAGAAAAGATAAATCATATTATACCTAAAGGGAGATGCGGGATGGGGGGAAAGGGAAGAAATTTAAAAAGAGACACATCAGTGTGAATATATGGATATAACCAGTAGAGAAGGACAACTGTAAAAGCAAAGTGTTTGAATAAGAAAGAAAGTTTCCAGTGCTGAAACAGAAGGTAGGAGCACAGACTGTATATCCACATGACAGCAGTGATTATATATATATATATATATATATATATATACACACACACACACACAAATGCACTAGTCTGGGAGAGCAGATAACTGAGAAAAATGAAGAAATCCTCTTCATTGGTTTCCAAGTTCTCAGCAAAATAAAAATCAAGATCTTCTGAGAAGAGAAGAGAAATAGCTGTTAGTGGTCTTGCCAGTGACTATAAGAAAGAGCTGGGTGTTACACTGAACTAATGAATCATTGAACATTATATCAAAAACTAATGATGTACTATATCTTGGCTAGTTGAATTTAAATTTTTAAAAAGTAAATTTTATGGGAGAAAAAAATAAAGCCAATTACATCTTCAGAAGAAAGAGAGAAAGAAAAGAAAGAAAAAGAAAAGAAGAAAAGAAAAGGAAATAAATGAAAAGAAAAGAAGAAAAGAAAGCAAGTGGGGCAACGTAGAGAGGATGCTTGCCAAGAGCAACAATGGAGATTAACCAAATGTCTAACCAAAATAAAAAGGAAAATGAGTACATGTGCAGTAAATAGACAAGTGAGTCCAAAGAATAATTGAAATCAGGATACAAGAGAAGGTCAGAAAGTGGAATCCTTGAGACTAAGATTTTGCGGACAGTGCAATTACAGATTAAGTCCAAGGTCTGGAATATCAATGTAAATGACAGTGCCTCTACCGTGCCTTAAAAATTCTTAAATCTTAGATGTGTTTTTTACAAAAGCATACAACTGTATTTTTTTATTCAAACTTTATCATCTGTCTTTTAGCCAGCCCGTCTGTTCAATTCATACATATACCGTAATTCATTATAAAATTATATCTAATCCTACTGTTATATTTTATACTTTCTGTTTACTCTGCCTTTTCTCTGCTTCTTATTTTCTTCTTTCCTGGCTCCTATTGTGTTAATTGAATTTTTTTTTAAATTCCTCTTTTCCTCTCTAATGGTTTAGAAGTTATAAAGTCTATTCTCTTAGTGGTTACCCCAAACTTTTCACAATATAGATTTAACAATCTCAATAATTAATCAAACCCTATTTCCTCTTAAAAAACAATCCAAGGCCCATATGTGCTATAGCTCTGTGACAGTCATGTCTTTCACATTATTGTTTCCTATATCATTTTATTCTTGCCTGGTTTTATAACCCATAAAGCAGTGATTATAATGGTTTTATAGACTAAATGCTTATTTAGATTTATTAACACACTTAGTAATTTCTTTTTTCACCAATTAGATAAATTGAACATTCCTCATATGGTATTAGTAGCAAAAAGAATTCCAGTCAGAAAATTATTCATACTATCTACAATTTTCAAAAGTTTTTTAAACATTGAGAAGCTAATATTGAAAAACCATCCCATCCAATTAAAAATACTGCATTAGGAGAAGGAAGGGAAAAATGAAGAGGGGAAATCAGAACCATGAGAGACTGTGGACTCTGAGAAAAAAACTAAGGGTTTTGGGGCAGGGGGTGGGCCTGGTGATGGGTATTAAGGAGGGCATGTATTCCCTCCTTATATTCCCTCCTCCTTCTTATACTTCTTATACTAAGAAATCTAGGAACACTACATCAAACTAACACTACATCAAAAACTAGTGACATAATGTATGCTGACTAACATAACAAAATAAAAAAAAATACTTCATACTTCATGAAATGTTGAAAAAGAAAATTGTATGAACATTCATTGAATGTCTCAGCCATTTAGCAAATTATCTTTCAGAAAATTGTCTCGCAACACACTGATCATTTAGCAAATAAGCTTCTGATGAATTCATTTTCAGCAAATTTATATGAATAAATTTTCCTGGTTTTGACCAGTGGGCCTTTTCAGAATTCTGCTATGTGTAACATATCAAGAGGTTGAGTCACTGTTTTATATACCTGAAACTAGTATTGTGTGTTAACCATACTCAAATTTAAATTGTTTTTTAAATAAAAATAAAAACATAAAATCCTGTCATGGACAATGGTCAGACCAGTAAGAATGATAATCTTACCAGCAGCACCTAAATACTGCTGTGAATGGGTTTAAGGCCAAGAAATTCTATTTTAATAATTCAAATGAACTCTGTGTTGATTTTCACTATTTGGATGGTAGAGAGAAACTTTTCAAGGCAATCTTCTATTTTAAATGTGGATTACATAGAGGAACATACAGGTTCATGTGTTAAATGTAGAAATTGGGCACTTGGGTGGCACAGAAAGTTAAGTATTCAACTCTTAGTTTCAGCTCAGGTAGTGACCTCAGGTCAGGAGATTGAGCCCAGCATCTGGTTCCATGCTCAGCATGGAGTCTGTGTAAGATTCTCCCTCTTCTTCTGCCCCTCCCTACCATGAACTCATACTTTCTCTATCTCTAAAACAAATAAATAAACCTTTTATTTTTAATGTGAAAATTCATTATTATAATCAATATGACCTAGAAAAAGAAAAGATATGCAAGAAATACAATTTTATTTCTTCTTTTCAGGTTTACTTTTACTTACAAAAGATGTCTACTCTACTGGAAAATATCATTGCCATTATCAATCTATTCCATGACTATTCAACAACAGACAAGGAAACTGACACACTGAGCAGAAAAGAACTGAAGGAGCTCCTGGAAATGGAGTTTCAGCCAATCCTGAAGGTAAGGGATGCTTCCTGGAACCTAAGGGTGCATCATGCTTGTTCTGCAGCAGCAATATAACAAATAATAACTGTGAAATTTTGCAAATTATTGTTTTTGGAATAGAAACAGACTCAATCTTATTTCAAAACAAATACCTGTTTCTCTTCTTTTTTTTCTTTTTTTTAGCATTAATATCTTTTATTTTATTTTTTTTATTTCTTTTCAGTGTAACAGTATTCATTGTTTTTGCACCACACCCAGTGCTCCATGCAATCCATGCTCTCCCTAATAACCACCACCTGGTTCCCCCAAACTCCCACCCCCCATCCCTTCAAAACCCTCAGATTGTTTTCTCTTCTTATACTTTTAATACCCTATGCACACACATGATGTGCACATTACACAAACCCACCACATACATATTCTGTGAAAAAAATGTAAATATTTAATGACAAAAAAATGAACACCAAATAATTAGTTCTTCATATTATGTTTCCTAACCTCTAGAATGTTAAGAAGATATATTTAAATATATTAAGATACATTTAAGAGAAAATTCACTGATAGATTTCATAACATATTGACATATAAAGAAAAAAAGATGCACATGACCCATCAAACATTTTAGTGTCAACAAACCAGCATTAAAGATATATTATTTTAATACAATAGCTAGTTTCCTCCTAACTCATCATAAGCTGAACATTATTAATGAAAAAACCCACATACTGTCCGACATTTACTTACCAAAAATCACATTCACCAAACTGTTTTTGAGTTGTTTAACCATTTAAGTCATTCTCATGTAACCTCCCTCTGTCTTCTGTCTGTACAGAATCCAGATGACCCAGACACTGCTTACGTCTTCATGCATATTCTTGATTTAGACCATGACAAGAAAATAGACTTCTCAGAGTTTTTTCTGATGGTATACAAATTGGCTCAAGCATACTATGATAAGACCAGAGGACAGAACTTCCAAGCATCAGAGCAAAACCAAGAAAAATATGCATACCACACACAAGATGAAGAAAATGACATAAGGGATGATGAAGTACAAGAAGAGAAAGAAGAAGAAATTAGAAAATCCAGTCAATCAGGAAAAAGTCATAGAAAGGGGAAGAAAACAATATCCAATAACCCAAAAGGAAGACGAGGAAAGGGACATGAACAGATACCAGACAGCTCAAGACATGCAAGATCCTATAAGGGTGAGACAGCGGACAGTGGACACTCTGAGTCGGGGTCTCCCCATCACCAATTATCCAATCAGGCACACAGGCCTAGACAATCACACTCTGAGCATGGAAAATCATCACCTGAAATCAGGCCAGTGAAAAACCCAGGGTCCAGGATTAGTCAGGACAGTGATAATGAAGGACACTCAGAAGATTTGGAAAGACAGTTTGGATCTGGCTCAGGAAACCAACAAGGATCTGCCCATGGCCATGGAGGAGATAGCTCTAGACACTCTGAGTCTCATCAGTGGCAGAGAGACAACCATGGACAGCCTAAGTCTACCCATAGATGGTCAGGCTCTCATACCAGAAGAAGACAAGGATCTAGTCATGGACACTCTACACACACCTCAAAACAATCAAGGTCTCCTTATGAAGACACATCCTCTCAAGGATCCTCCTTCCATAGGCTGTCAAAACCAAGAACAACAGGAAGACAAGAATCCCAGCATGAGCAGTCAGCAGACATATCCAAATACTCAGGTACTGAATATGGACAATATTCCTCCAGATCTAAGGCAAGCAGGTATCAGGAATCCAGTGTAAGTCAGGACAGTGACACTGAAGGACATTCAGAAGATTTGGGTAGAGAATCCTCAATGACCCACAAAAGAACTGAGTCCACATTAAAGAATCAACATTGGTCTAACCATAGCAGGTCAGCTGATGGGTCCAGGCAAACAGGCTCCCATCAAGGGAAGAGGAATATACACAGGGAGTCTAACGCTATACACCAAGATGCAGGACCGACCACCAGAGAAAGACAAGGGTGCCATCCAGAGCAGTCACAGGATAGCACCAGACACTGGGAAACTGGACATGGACAAATCTCTTCTGGATCTGGTAACACCAGACACCAGGGATCCAGTTTCAGTCAGGCCAGTGACAGTGAAGGACAATCAGAAGACTCAGATATTCAGTCAGGGTCAGTCCAGGAATGGTCCGGGTCCAATCAAAGGAGACAACACGGCAGTGCACATGGCAGTCCTGACCACTCAGGGTCTTACTTCTACACGATACCCTCCCAAGAACAGTWTGACTCTGCCCACGGACAGTCTCAACCCAGTACCAGGGGGAGACAAGGATCCCGCCATGAGCAGGCACATGACAGCTCTAGACATGCAGGATCCCATGAGGGTCAGGCAGCTGATGGTGGGCACTCTGAGTCAGGATCCCGCCACCAGCAACCATCCACTTGGACATATGGCTCTAGGCAATCACAGTCTGGGCATGGACAATCGTCATCTGAATTCAGGCCACTGAGAAACCGAGGGTCCAGTGTCAGTCAGGACAGAGACAGCGAAGGGCACACTGAAGATTCGCAGAGTCAGTTTGGATCTGGCTCAGGAACCCAACACGGCCATGCACAAGACAGCTCTAGACGCTCTGAGTCTTATCGAGGGCAGAGAAACAATCATGGGCAGTCTGAGTCTGGCCATGGACACTCAGACACTGGTAGTAGAAGGAGACAAGGATCTAGTCATGGACACTCTGTCAATAACTCCAGACAATCAGTGTCTCTTCAGGGACAGAGTGAAAATCATGGGCAACCTGCGTCAGGATTTGGAGAGTCTCAGCATGGTAGTGGAAATCTTGATTCCAGCTATATGGAATCCAGAGACATAGTTGAGTCTGGAGATGAATTTATGTCATCCAATATAACAGTTAGTAATATTAACCCAGAAATATCAGTCCATTCAATGGGTAATTCAAAGAAGTTGGGATTTATTCAGTCACAAAATTATTATTATTTTGAGTGAGAAACCAATAGAAAAATAACTAAAAGGGTAGGAACCTGAGCTAAGACATAATTTTGGATCAAGAAACTTCGCATTATACCTGCAAAGAGTTTTCTTACCATTTTACTTTAAATGGGTTACAGTATTTCTTTCCTCTGGTGATAGTTTCATTTCTTCGTTGGGTAGGTTTAAACCTTTGGTTAGGAAATTGTCAGTGGGCAAAATCTATGTCATTTAGAACTAAATTTAGAAAACTCAATATTTTGGGTAGTTGGGAGTTCAAATAAGGACTGTCTTTTGAGATGTTAAATTTATGATCTTTGTAGATTTTCACATTTTCTTTGCCAAAAATACAAAATCACGGTTCTGGAAGCCAACCAAATATGTTAATATCAGAGCTCAGTGCATCTTCCTCTACTATCCTTCTAATGGAGTTCTAAGTTAATCTGGATTTACTAAAATCAAAAAACTGAATTACATAAAGATTCAAAATAAACAGTTGAGCATATGTCATAATTTGTCTTTTTTATGCTTGTTTCTCATAGACCCCAGAAGACTTACTTCCCCATGGCCAAAATTACATGTTTTTCTTATATCACTGGAAAACTATATGACCAAAAGGCAGTTATACACCAAGCAAAAGGAATAATGAGTCCAATGAAGTAAGAATTTAAACAACATAATTGTTGTCCCATCCAGTCACATTCAGGATGAAGGAAGGCTTAGCTCAATCATTAACAGCAACATAAGTATTACCCAAGTGGTTATTAGGCTAATCAAACCAAGATTAGTAAACAGAAATTACTAACCACAGGTCCCTCTTCCAAAGACACTAGGAGTTGTTTTCCAGTGAAAGTCAGAAAGCAAGTATTTATGCTGAAATATCTTGACAAAGGAAAAACAATAAAGAAAACCCCCACCCTGGAAAGAAAATGCATACAGTTCATGATGTTGGCAGGTGAATGAAGAAATGAATGAAGAGTAGTAGAAACATCTACAGGATTCTACCTTTAGAAGGAATATCACTGTAGGAGATTCATATCCAAGTTTTCCTTCTCCATAATATCAGACCAGAATGCACACTAGAGAATATCTAGGTCAGTGTTCAAATTCTGCAGATGAGTCTGTCTCCAAAATAATCCATACCAAATAGCAATTAGAATCAAAGTCTTGTAACTCTGATTTTTATAAAAGCACTTTAAAAAGATGTCTCTCTTTCATTTTATTTTAACAAATCAGACTAAACTGAAATTAATTGATTTATGTAAGATGGCAGAGGAGTAGGGCACCCTAAGTTTGTCTAGCCCCTCAAATGCAGCTAGATAGTTATCAAATCATTCTGAATACCTGTGAAATCATTTGGAGATCTGAGAAAAGAAAGGCTGCATTCTACAAATAGAAAAGCAACCATTTTTTGGAAGGTAGGAGACTTGAATCTGGGGTGATATATCTGAGGATATGGTGGAGGAGATGGAGTCTGCTTAAGGAGGCTACTACAGAGCAGCATTTAAGAAGCAGAGCACAGAATCAGAACTTTTATGATATTTTGCTACAGTGGGGCACATCCTGGCTGAAAGGTGCTCAGGTAGCAAAGTGTGGCAGAATCCCAGGTAGGACAAGATAGTCTCAGGATCCCCAGGGTCACAGGAAGAATGGAGGTGCCTGAGTGCAGCAGAGTTCCCAGGCATAAGAGTGGAGAAGCAGGCTGAAAACAGAGAGTCTAGATGTTGGCTTTCTGCTCTGTTTTGCCAGAACCACTGCAAACCACTACACAGTCATGCAACCATATTCCTGGCAGGGGTAGAACAAAAGACTGAAGTCTGGTGAGAAGACAATCTGGAAGAAATGGATGCATTCCTAGAGACATATAAACTACCACAACTGAACCAGGAAGAAATAGAAAGCCTGAACAGACCCATAACCAGTAAGGAGATTGAAACAGTCATCAAAAATCTCCAAACAAACAAAACCCCAGGGCCAGACAGCTTCCCAGGGGAATTCTACCAAACATTTAAAGAAGAACTAATTCCTATTCTCCTCAAACTGTTCCAAAAAATAGAAATGGAAGGAAAACTTCCAAACTCATTTTATGAGGCCAGCATCACCTTGATCCCAAAACCAGACAAGGATCCCATCAAAAAAGAGAACTACAGACCAATATCCTTGATGAACACAGATGCAAAAATCCTCACCAAAATACTGGCCAATAGGATTCAACAGTACATTAAAAGGATTTATTCCAGGGCTGCAAGGTTGGTTCAATATCCGCAAATCAATCAATGTGATACAACACATTAATAAAGGAAAGAACAAGAACCATATGATACTCTCCATAGATGCTGAAAAAGCATTTGACAAAGTACAGCATCCCTTCCTGATCAAAACTCTTCAAAGTGTAGGGATAGAGGGCACATACCTCAATATTATCAAAGCCATCTATGAAAAACCCATCACAAATATCATTCTCAATGGAGAAAAACTGAAAGCTTTTCCTCTAAGGTCAGGAACACGGCAGGGATGTCCGTTATCACCACTGCTATTCAACATAGTACTAGAAGTCCTAGGCTCAGCAATCAGACAACAAAAAGAAATTAAAGGCATCCAAATCAGCAAAGAAGAAGTCAAACTATCACTCTTCGCAGATGATATGATACTATATGTGGAAAACCCAAAAGACTCCACTCCAAAAGTGCTAGAACTTGTACAGGAATTCAGTAAACTGTCTGGATATAAAATCAATGCACAGAAATCAGTCGCATTTCTCTACACCAACCACAAGACAGAAGAAAGAGAAATTAAGGAGTCAATCCCATTTACAATTGCACCCAAAACTATAAGATACCTAGGAATAAACCTAACCAAAGAGACTAAGAATCTATACCCAGAAAACTATAAAGTACTCATGAAAGAAATTGAGGAAGACACAAAGAAATGGAAAAATGTTCCATGCTCATGGATTGAAAGAATAAATATTGTGAAAATGTCTATGCTACCTAAAGCAATCTACACATTTAATGCAATTCCTATCAAAATACCATCCATTTTTTTCAAAGAAATGGAACAAATAATCCTAACATTTATATGGAACCAGAAAAGACTGCGATAAGCCAAAGGAATATTGAAAAAGAAAGCCAAAGTTGGTGGCATCACAATTCCAGACTTCAAGCTCTATTACAAAGCTGTCATCATCAAGACAGCATGGTACTGGCACAAAAACAGACACATAGATCAATGGAACACAATAGAGAGCCCAGAAATAGACCCTCAACTCTATGGTCAACTAATCTTCGACAAAGCAGGAAAGAATGTCCAATGGAAAAAAGACAGCCTCTTCAATAAATGGTGTTGGAAAATTAGACAGCCACATGCAGAAAAATGAAATTGGATCATTTCCTTACACCACACACGAAAATAGACTCAAAATGGATGAAGGACCTCAATGTGAGAAAGGAATCCATCAACATCCTTGAGGAGAACAGAGGCAGCAACCTCTTCGACCTCAGCCGCAGCAACATCTTCCTAGGAACATCGCCAAAGGCAAGGGAAGCAAGGGCAAAAATGAATTATTGGGATTTTATCAAGATCAAAAGCTTTTGCACAGCAAAGGAAACAGTTAACAAAACCAAAAGACAACTGACAGAATGGGAGAAGATATTTGCAAACGACATATCAGATAAAGGGCTAGTGTCCAGAATCTATAAAGAACTTAGCAAACTCAACACCCAAAGAACAAATAATCCAATCAAGAAATGGGCAGAAGACATGAACAGACATTTCTGCAAAGAAGACATCCAGATGGCCAGCAGACACATGAAAAAGTGCTCCACATCACTCGGCATCAGGGAAATACAAATCAAAACCACAATGAGATACCACCTCACACCAGTCAGAATGGCTAAAATTAACAAGTCAGGAAATGATAGATGCTGGCGAGGATGCGGAGAAAGGGGAACCCTCCTACACTGTTGGTGGGAATGCAAGCTGGTGCAACCACTCTGGAAAACAGCATGGAGGTTCCTCAAAATGTTGAAAATAGAGCTACCCTATGACCCAGCAATTGCACTACTGGGTATTTACCCTAAAGATACAAACGTAGTGATCCGAAGGGGCACGTGCACCTGAATGTTTATAGCAGCAATGTCTACAATAGCCAAACTATGGAAAGAACCTAGATGTCCATCAACAGATGAATGAATAAAGGAGATGTGGTATATATACACAATGGAATACTATGCAGCCATCAAAAGAAATGAAATCTTGCCATTTGCAACAACGTGGATGGAACTAGAGGGTATCATGCTTAGCGAAATAAGTCAATCGGAGAAAGACAACTATCATATGATCTCCCTGATATGAGGGAGAGGAGATGCAACATGGGGGGTTAAGGGGGTAGGAGAAGAGTAAATGAAGCAAGATGGGATTGGGAGGGAGACAAACCATAAGTGACTCTTAATCTCACAAAACAAACTGAGGGTTGCTGGGAGGGAGGGGGGTTGGGAGAGGGGGGTTGGGGTTATGGACATTGGGGAGGGTATGTGCTATGGTGAGTGCTGTGAAGTGTGTAAACCTGGCGATTCACAGACCTGTACCCCTGGGGAGAAAAATATATTATATGTTTATAAAAAATAAAATTTAAAAAAAAAAAGAAGAAGAAGTCTGGTGAGAAACCCCTGATGCATTCTTTCTTACTTTTGGATCCAGTTTCTTTCAACAAACAGGCCAAAACACACAGAATCTAGTTTTTTGTTTTGTTCTATTTTGTTTCTTGTCTGTTTTTTTCTTGTTTTGTTCTATTTTTATTTCTGATTTTTTTTCTTTTGTCATTGTTGTTATTGTTTTTTTCTATTTCTTTCTTCTATTCTATTCTGGACAAACTGGTGAGATGGAGAAATTCACCCCAAAGGAAAGAACAGGAGGTGGTAATAACTATCACAGATTAAATTAATACAGACATAAGAAAGATGTCTGAACTAGAATTCAAAACAACTATTGTAAAGATACTAGCTTGCTTTGAAAAAGCATGGAAGACACTAGAGAATCCCTCACCATAGAAATAAAAGTACCAAGATCTAGTCAGGTTAAAATTAAAAATGCTCTTACTAAGATGTAGTCCCAAATGGAGGCTATAAAAACAAGGATAAACAAGGCAGAAGAGTGAGTCCATGATAGAGATGATAAAAAAGATTGAAAACAAGGAAGCTGAGAAGAAGAAAGAAAAATCTTGGATCACCAATGGAGATTTAGTGAACTTGCCAATTCCATAAAGCAAAATAACACCTAGATAATAGAGGTCCCAGAAAATGAGGAATGGGAAAGAAGAGAACAAGATTTATTTGAACAAATTAT